GTTTGATTTATGCCTAAATTTATGCCCACACTGGCTGCAGATGTAGGGCTTCTCCCCTCTGTATGTCCTCTGGTGTGTGAGGAGGGTTGACTTTTGGCTAAAACCTTTCCCACAGTCCCCGCACACATAGGCCTTGTCCCCTGTGTGTGTCCTCTGATGTGTGAGGAGGTTTGATGTGTGACTGAATCCTTGCCCACACACTCCCTGCAGGCATAGGGCTTCTCCCTTCTGTGTTTCCTCTAGTATTGAGGGGGGTTGACTTAATGATGCTTTTCCCACACTCTCTATTCGCAACTTTTACAATTCTTGAGATTCCTACCTTCACACATAAATGGGTGGTTTCCCCTGGACCCACGTTCTGGCCTGGTTGTATCATTCTTTCACCCTCCCTAGAGCTCCCTATTTGTTCTCTAGGTGGGTGGGAAGATATCCCTGAAATCCTTCTATTTTTTAGGGATGGGGTCTCACTCTAGCTCAGGCAGGTCTATAACTCCTCAGGTCAGGCAATCAACCTGCTTCAGGTTCCCAGAATGCTAGGACTACAGGGGTGAGCCACCACAGAAATATATCCCTAAAAATTGAGAACACTCACATCATGTGTATTTTCTACACACCAGCCACGCCACGACCCTCCAGTAGCATCACAAGTGAGATCTTTTCTCTAAAAAATAAAATAAAATAGAAATAAATGAAAATAAAAATACAGTACAACAAGAGCTAAACCATGAGAATTCACAAGGAGAAGCATCCATCCCTTTCCTTCCTAGGGAGTCATCATGGTACCCACCTTGCCCTGCCGTGAGTTCTTTCTTCCGCTTGCTGACCCACGTGATGCCCAGTTTCTTGCCATACTCAGTCCCATACCAGGTCAGCAGTTCACAGCCTGGCCTGATGACACGGCAGGTCCGATAGAAGATCTGGCTGTGGTACTGGAAGGCCTCCAGGTTCTTTTCTTCGTCATGCCGGGCACAGTTCACATACCTGCATTGAGCAGAAGAGGAAAAGAAGGCAGGCAGTGAGTTCCCAGCACCTGTCAGGCTCGCATCTGGCTTGTCCCCTGATGGTCAAGGCCTCCATGCTCCAGTGCTACACACTTCCCACTGGTCCCCAACCTTCCCTCTGCCCGCACCTGAGTCTTTTCAGTGTTCTATGAATTCCTGCCCTAAGTCCTGCTCACAGGGCCCTGCCTGCCTGGAATGTTCCCTCTGCCACCTCTTTAACCATTTTTCAAAGCCCAGTTCCAGACTTTCCTCCACCTTCATTGGCCATAGGACAAGGTGTCCTCTAGCTTCTCCAAACCCTACGCTAATTACACTACAGCACCTGCTGCTTGCTCATGTGCTCTGCTTCTAGATTAGCGCGCACCGTTCCACACTTATCCCAAGTCGGCTTTGTCATGGTGAGAGGCTAACCTCAGTCTGTCCACAGTTTACCCAAATTCTGATAGAAACTTAGAGGACTGTCCGAGCACAATAGCACAGAATAATATTTGTTTATTAATATTCTGTGTCCCCTCATAATGTGAGAGCCCCTCATCGAGAGGGGCTCGGCCTTGCAGCACAGATTCCCAGGACTGTCCTGTATCTCACTGACTGGGCTGCAGGGCCTGGTTTTAATTTCCCTAAGGACAAGATTTCCTGTCCGCACAGATTAAAGTTCCTTTGTTTTATGCTGTCTTGACACTGTGCATGGCTTGGAAAATTATGGTCAAATATTCCCCTAATTAAATGTTTTGTGTCTGTCTGCAGTACATGCCCCACAATAACATGAGATGTGTAATCGGTTCAAGTAATGAGCTTCATTTTTTAAACTGGGACACAATGAGTGCTTAATAAATGTGGACCAGATAAAATAAAATGTGAATTCAGTGTCCCCGATGAATCTAGGCTCTTCAATGTTTATCCTACTCCCTCAATTTTCTGTATCCTAGAGATTTATATTTTGATAAAACTAGTAACATTCATATGTTTGTTTCTTTTTCTAAACGTGTGTGATGTTCAAGAGCATTGTACGGAGAAAAATGGAGGGAATGGATACAAAAGCCACTGAAGGATGTGTGATGAAAAGGAAAGCAAACTGGGCTTGTGAGAGACAAATGCACTCTCTGGAACCCAGAAAACCACTGTCCTTACCTCATCCAGTTGCCCTGAGATTGATCTTTCCCATCCACATACTCATAGCAGTTTCTTCCTTTCGTGATCTGAGTTTCAATAAAAGAAGTTAAAGGCTGTTTAGAGGGTAGTAATCAGAAGACTTAATTTTCTCTCCTGTCATTAGAGCCCTGGGAGACTGTGTGGACTCAGCTGCCAGCCTTAGGCGTCAGCTCCATGTCTGAGTCCTACTGTCCCGTTGGAGCACAGGTCCACGGGGAACATGTGCCTCTTTGTGCCACTGTGGTTCCACATACTCTCTGATCTTTAATTTGGAGTTCCCTGTCCATACACAGACCACTGTGCACACAGAGCCA